AGTATGTACCTCAGTGAATATAAAGTATCATTTAAGATTCACCTCAACTTTATAGATTATAAGACATTTTGATTTAAGAAATGTTAAAATGTGAAAAACAAGTACATCTTAGAATCACTTATATATGGTAGAATTGGCCCTACTTATTAAATGTATTTTAAGTTTATTAGTAAAATAAAAATTCTTTGTGATTTGGCAAATATCTAGAAATACAGCCTTCTTCATTTTCACTAAAATATGAAAATAATTGATTAGCAACCTCCACAACCTAAAAATCTGATAAATGACTTTAAATTCTTCGTTTTCCATAAGGTTTTAATTTTCCCAGAATTACATTCTATCTAATCTGTATGTATTATTATTTTTTAAAGTATCTGACTTTATGATATTACTATGGGTTTACCAAAGCTGTATTCATCAAGTATTTATTTTGTTTTCTCAATCACAGAATTTCAGGTTGGTACTTTCATTTTATTTCAGTAGTACTTACTTGTGTGTGCACTTGTATGTATGTGTGTTAATTCCTTTAGGGATTCCAGGATTACAACCACATTATATTAATATTATTGCCTTTCATGGTAACCAAGATAATTATATATTATATTATCACATTTCATAGTAGTCAACATAAGCACACTGATACTTAAAGTCATCCAGGAGCAAATTATGTTTAACTTTCAGGGACTTACAGAAAATATATATTTTAGTGCAAAGTAACAAAAAATAAAATTTCTAAACTTTACCACTTGGTCAAGGGAATAATTCAGCTTTTTCATTTTCTACTGACATATATACCAGAATAACATACTCAGATCTCAGCCACTGAATTTAAAACTTGACCTTACCTGTTCTCCATTTAAGCGGTGAACCTCTACCAACTCAAGGAAGATTGATAAACGATGGCTTGTATCAACTTCAGTTTTTCTGTATTTGGATTTTGAGAAAGCTCCAATTCTTCTCATTCCTGGTAAATTCATTGCCATATGCAGAGTTTTAATTGCTTCTGTTATTTCTCCCATTTTCTTTTGTGACTGAGCTTTTATCAAATGATATAAAGGATATTCTCTCACCTGAAAAATATTTAGTAATGCTTCCTTGGAGTGCCTACATTAACACATAATTTACAATCCATAAACATTAAAATAATAGGATCATTGAGAACAGTCCATCTGTGAGTGTATGCATGAGGTCTATTTCTGTCCTCTTCATTTATTATAATAATTAGATTCAAGGAAATTGCCACTACCTAACGTCCTCCCGGATGACAAAGAGGTTGATTAGGTGTTTACTGCTATGACAGAAAAGAAAATGCACAGTTTATAGGGCTGGCAAATACATTCTAAGAAATCTGAGCTTTCAGGAAAGGAATTTCTTTACCTGGGACTTCTAGTACTGATAAAAAGTTATCAGATTTCTAGAAACAGTTTTCCCCTTGATTTCCTTTATTTTTTAAGGTCGAAAATTTCAGGACACTTTAATCAAACATTGGCTTTACCCTTTGATATTACTCCCAAACATGTAATAACAAAGCTTCTATCTTTAGTCTGGCAATCAACAGTATAAACAGAAAACATAAGAGAATGACAAAAAGAATGACGAAAAAGAAGTCAAAGGGAAGGAGATGATCCAGAATGAGGTAATGTGGCAGCCACCTAACGATCAGTACGCCTACAGTCCTCCTAAGGCAGAAGTTCTCAACCTTAGCTACATATCACATGTGCCTCTGGAGCTTCCTGTGAATACTCATGCCTGAGCTCCTCTCTCAGAAACTTCCATTCACTGGGGCTGGGGCACCAGCCCTGGGGCTATTACACACCATGGGTCTTGAAAAACACAGCCCCAAGAAGCAGCTGATATTTTCTACAAATCTTGACTAGAACTGGAATTCTCTACTT